ACAGAGGAGGGAGGGGCGGGGCGGCTGTCGCCGTGCAGCGCAGGTGTCCTGCGTCTGACCTCAAAGTGCACGAGCTTCAAACTTCAGCGTTGGCTGCGATTTTGAAGCTGAAATCGCGTTCAGTGTGAACGCACCATTAGTTACAGGCTGACTTCAGGTCTGGTTTAGATCATTGTTACTTATAAATTATATATTTTTCTGGTGTTTTACATGATTGTTGAATGAAATTAACATAATTATTAATTTATTGTAAAAATATTACAGATAGTTTGTGAAACAGATCCAGTTGCTGTTTATCTATTAGTTTCTATGGTGGCTGTGAGCCRTTGCCATTTGGTCTGTTTCTGCTCCTCCGTGCTGTCACAGATGCTACCAGTGGACAGGATGGGCAGGGCTCAGTCTAGTGTTCTTCAAGTCTATGGGGGTGAAATGATACTTTGACAAACTACAGCCTGTTTACCTGCTGTGCATCAAAGTGTTGAGATGCTACTGCATTTACATCATGGTCACTCAGTGTGTTCCCCAGCTCGTGCATCACTTTGTCCATTTCTGATGCTTGCCTACCAGACAAGAAGAAAACGAAGGAGGAATAATTAAAATATATACAGAAATATATACAGAAGCACAAACATTTCCTGCAAAGCGTTAAAGAAAATCCAGAAATTGTGGCTGTGGGAAAGGATCTACCTTTCTTGTAGCTTCTTAATCTCCATGTCTCTTTCACTGATGAGCTCAGAGATGCTGACAAAATAGTTGTGCTCCAGGTTGAGGAGGGTCTCTGAAGCAGGAGAGTGGATCAGCTCGTGGTAAACATCAGCAAAGTCCTCGTCCCAGCTGGGCTCTTCGGGTCGAGCGTGCTCCAGCGTGGTCTGAAACACAAGGTTAGAAAAAGAGTATGGGGGATTTTGTAAGTATTGGAGAAACTATAATAATGTTTTTTAACTGTAACATTTGAAACAGATTTCTAAAACCAGCATAATGGTTATAAATGTCCACAGTTTAAATCCTAACACTCCCTGAAGGGCCGCATATTGATAACCGCCCTTCATTTAGAAACTGATAGGTGTAAATTTGTGCTATTGCTCCTAAAAGCTTTTAAAACAACAGAATAAACTGTGTTTTCACCTCTACATAAGACTTGGACCATGCACCGGTAAGCTGGTTTACATCCACCTCTCCTGTCGTAAGTCTCTGCAGAGCCAGCTCCGCCTCTCTGTCATAATCCACTGTCGTCTCCTTCTCTATGAAACTGGAAAGTGAGGTTTTAAGATCTGCAAAACGGAGACGCACACAAAACATAAATCAGCAGTGTAGTGTTTTTATGTTTACTGTGTTTTTGAAAAGCTAAAGACCAATGTTAATGTCACATGGAATAAAACAGATTTTTTTTAACCCATGACTCCAAAAGTACAAAAGATTGCGTCCTAATACTCTGTTCATGAGTAATAACTCAACATGCATCTTATTTTCTCTTACTGTGACCAGCAGTCTCACCATGTTCTACATAGCAGGGTATTTTATGTAGCAGCATAAGGCGTCCATGCAGGTCACTGATGTTGACTTGGACAGGAAACTGTAGCGGCACTTTGAGCACACATTTGTGTTTTCCTGCCCTAAATTCAAACACAAACTCCTTCTCAGCATCGCTGTTTGCTTTGCCTTTGCTCTTCTTCATCGTAACAGCTGGAAAACAAGACAACACAAATGTCAATAATAGTACATCATCTTTAGTCACTAAATGTGAGATAATGAGCACAGTTATRGTTACACCCACACACCAATAATATTAATCCTAGCACATCTTTATTAGTAACATTATACTTAAAAGCTGCTGTACTGTGTACCTTCAATCATACAAAAACTATACACTTTACCTAGCTAAAAACTCAGGGTTTATCCTCAAATTAGCTTAGGTTAGCAGTACGCTAACATCAAAGCTAGCAATAAATGTATAAATACATTAAAAAAACAATTTAATGAACACGGTAGGTTAGTTGCAAACGTTTCTGTGTAATAATGATGTCAAACCTTTCTGAGAGGCAGGTTTACCTGAGAATRAATGGTTAAGTTACTTCCGTTGTTTGTTTCGAACAGCTGACCACTTCGCGTGTGGCTCACGTAAAACCCGGAACAGCACTTTCGCCACAAAAATGGTGAGTGATTTATTTTTAGCTTCGTGAGAGAAAAATCTTTAAAATCTCCTGAAAGTATAGGTGTTAACTTACAGAACTTGTTTATGCGGGATTTTCTGTATTTCGTTTGTATTTTTTAATCAATCAATTCGCTCCAATCGCTTCACGAGCGTTTTTGTATAACACTGCCCCCTGCTGGCTATAAAGGTGTATGATTTATTTGTATTGAATTATTTTACTTTTATTATTTCATTAACCAATCAATCCAAAACAACTGCATACAACCAGGTTTTTTTTAATTATGAATAAAAATTTTGATTACAAGATTGAAAACTATCCTTCTACTTTGTCAATAACCAATAAATATCTAACTTCAAAATGTTTGGTTCTGAAAACTAATCAATTTCTAGCCCACCCCTACACAAATACACAGGCGTGAACATGTTTGCTGTACTGTGTACTTTGTCAATATGTAATCAACATGTCATACAGCAGAAGAATCAAACTAAGACATTTTGATCCTGTCCTTACTGATAATCTAGTAAACCTTTCCAGTCATCCAGGAGTATAAAGTTAAAAAAAAGAATTATAATGTTAAAAATTAAACTGAGCATTAAATAAAAGAATAAACAGTAATCCATAATGTAAAGAATATTTATACATGTAAGCAGATGTCCACAAATGTCCGTGCGTGTGCGCGTGTCTGCAAATGCGCGTGCTTACTCTCCCGTGCGTATGTTTTCTTCAAGTTTGAGTAGATAAGAGTTCGTCTAAAAATTGGTATTCCAAGAAAAAAACGTATAACTCATTATTTTTATACGGAGAAGAACAAAATGCATAAAAAACATAAATATTTAATTGTAATTAATTATTATACAACGTTTCAATAGATTAAACATACATTTACTGGTATAGCTGTTTTTGTTTTGCGTTATTTCACTGGATGAGAGTTTTCAGACACTCCCTGTCTTGATCCGTCCCGTCATACATCGCGTGGCCAACGGCTCTCCACCACCGACTCACCGCTCATTGAATTACAGCGCTCATCTTTTATCGGCTCGGTTTGGGGAACAGGAAAAAAAAAATCAACGCGAATTCCTGAACTCTATCTCCGGACAGCGGTGTATTTTTAATCGCGGCAGTGGAGCACGCTGTCCGGGGGTTCGCTGGCTTGGATCAGGTCGGGAAAGTGAGGGGAAGAAGTACGGAGCTGGTCCCGAGCGATGATGGAGCTGGAGTCGGCCAGTAACCGAGGCGACCCGGGAGCTGCGGGGGATTCGCTGCAGCCGCAGACCCCGAGCAGGCACGAAAAGAGCCTGGGACTGCTCACGACCAAGTTTGTGACCTTACTGCAGGAGGCGAAGGACGGGGTCCTGGACCTGAAAGCCGTGAGTGCTCAGCCCGGAGTCTTTGTTGTTGGCTAGCACATGTCATACTGAGTTACATGCACTTTCGCTAGCATGTTAGCTTAGCTATGTCAAGCTAATTTGAAAGGATAAAAACCGGTTAGCCATTAGCTTTATATCTTATAGATCCGTGTTACATTCCAACACCAAGTTTACTGTGGTGTTAAGATATATTTAGTTTCTATCTTTCTAAGTAGAAGGCCGACTGTAGACKTAAGGAACTTTGAAAACAACACCGGGTAACTTTTTTTCAGACTCTGCCCCCTGCAGATTCAAAAGTTTCAAAAAGTGGGTCAGCTTTTGTCGCTGGTTAACGATACGGCATCTTCACACTTGAGTTATTATTATTATTTTTCTCTGATTGATTTAGCTTTTGTCTCTGAACGACGTGCCTTCATCAACGCTAATGCAATTTGTTGTACATAAAAATATACTGTTCAGAACGCAGTTTGTGCATGCCTTTATTTGCTTGTAGAAGCTATACTGTAATAACAAAACTACTGAGAACTGATTACTATCATTAGTTAGTGCTATTAATACTTATACTGTCAAATAATTGAACTCAAGTATTCAAAACGTCTAATACAAATGCAGTTAAGGATGCTAAAACTAGTATTATTTAAAATACATCACCATTGACCAACTATGTATGACCTTTATGACCCAGAGACTTATTGGCTGCTGACGCTGAGGGTTAATGTGTTATTACAGATTACAAAAAAAAAAAAAAAAAAAAAAAACAGTCAACCTTTTTTTATTGTCATTTCCAATTCCAGCTTCTTGTTAAAAGCTTGGACTTATCAGCGCTCTGCATGCTGGTATTATCTTTTAAGACACAAAACGTTTTGACAGGGAAGGAAATCTAAGTGACACCCAGATGGTTTGAAAAAATTATAAGTATGCTGATATGTACAAGTACACAAAAAAGCTGAGTTGTATTTGTCTCATTCTGCAGGCCGCAGACTCCCTGGCAGTGCGACAGAAACGGCGTATTTACGACATCACTAATGTCCTGGAAGGAATCGGTCTCATTGAGAAGAAGTCTAAAAACAGCATCCAGTGGAAGTAAGTTGGCTTTTCTTAGTTTAAAGAGTGTGTTAAATTATGTTAAACTGTATTACTAATCAGAAGACGAATTACAATGTTATAAGGATGCTCAAATGATATATCGTAATAGTAACTAGCTGTTAACGTGTCAGACTCACAGTGTTTCCCCTAGGAAATTGGTCTTGTGGGGGGTGTGCTACTTGTTTTATGAAAACACAAATTTACGTGACTCACCTTCAATTATGGTAATAAATTTACACATACGTGAATATTCAATTGCCTAACTACATCCTAAAGTTAAGGACTCCTCATGATAATTATTAATAATAATTTATCGTAGCAAATTATTATTGATAATAAGTGATCAGAACTGTGTGC